AGATAGTATTAAGCTTAGGATCTTTTCTTCAAATGCATATATGATACACACATATAGACAGCATAATCATAACCAGTAAGCCATAACCTTGTCCTAGACACCCCATTTGACCCCCTTTATACAAGATTTGGGTGCCACTACAGGACCTTGGTTGCAACAATGATCTATACGGTCCCAGTTTATGTCAATAACGTCACATGTCAGCGACCCCCCCCCACCTCTTAGCCTGCCCTGAGAGCAAACTTCATCCCTTTCCCCTGCTGGGCAGCTGGGCACAGTATAGGGGAAACTGAGGCACACATCGGGCTCTTCCTCCCTGCCCCCAGAGAACTTCCTGGCTGAGGGGGAAACTGAGGCAGGGGCTGAGGGAAGGGGCCCTGGCCGGAGTCAGTTAAGAACCAGGACCAGACCCAGCTGTCCAGGCTCCTGGGGCAGCTCTCCTGGTCGCACGGCCTCTTCTCTGGCTCCCCAGGGGGAAGGTCTGGCCCCCTATGGCGGCTGGGGGCTGGGCGGGGCCCCGGGGAACGTTCCAGGCTGCCATGCTGGGCCCCTCTCCTCTGCCCCAGGCGACTGCTCCTGGAGCCCCTGGACGCCGTGGACCCAGTGCTCCTGCAGCTTCCTGGTGCAGCAGCGCTACCGGAACCAGCGGGGCCCGGGCCCCCAGGGGGCGCTGTGCGTGGGGCTGGACGGCGAGTTCCGCGCCTGCGACTCCTCCCAGTGCTCGGGTGAGGGGGGGCCGGGGCACGACTGGCTGGGCAGGGGCCCTGGGGGGGAACCAGGAGGGGCTGGGACCCTGGGGGGGGAGCCGGAGTCGGGGCACGACTGGCTGGGCAGGGGCCCTGGGGGGGAACCAGTGGGGGCTGGGACAGAGCCCCTGGGGGCAGAGCCCGGCAAGAATTCTGCTCTCACGCCCATGGTTGGTGCCCCTCCCCTGCCCCGCTCAGAGAGCGCCCCCTGCAGGATGGACCCTGCCCTCCTCCCCGCTGTGCACTCCCCCTCCGGGCACTGTCTTCACCCCCCACCCCCGCGCCGGTGCCCAGGCACCCCTGGGACTCCCCTCTCTGAGGCGGCAGTGTCTCCCGTAGAGGGGAGAGCGCCCCCCGGGGGCACCCAGAGCCATTTGTTCACCCCTCCTCGTGGTGGGTCCCCTCTGGCCCCTTGCTCTGCCCGGAGCCCCCGCTGAGTGCCTGGCTGTGGGGCCATCGGACACCCGGGTCACTGTGATGCTGCGGGCCGGGCGGGCAGCCCCGTCCCCTCCCTGGCCGGCAAGCCCTGTGCTGGGGGTGACCCTGTGCCCCTGCCCCGCAGAAGCCAACTGTGAGCCTCCCTTTGAGTTCCGGGAGTGCGGGATCCCCTGCGCCGGCCTGTGCTCCACGCTGCAGCACCAGGAGCTGTGCACAGCCATCCCCCGGTGCCTGCCCGGCTGCTACTGCCCGCAGGTGAGGGGCGGGTTAGCACTGGGGGCAGGGTCCCCTTGGCGTGAGGGGGCAGGGGGCAGGGGCGTGGGGGGGTCTCAGCAGGAGAGGGGCGCGGGGGGCAGGGGTGCGGGGGGGGTCTCAGCAGGAGAGGGCAGAGGGAGCAAGCCTAGGCAGGCCCTGGTAACCTGAGGGACTCGCTGCTGCAGGACAACGTCGCAGCCTGGGCAAGGGGGTGGCCTGTCCTGGGGCTCTCGGCCCGCCAGCTGCAGGGCGCACACAGCCCAGCTGGCCAGCAGGGCGCGTCCCCGTGGCAGGCTTCTGCCTCTCGAAGGCGCCAGCGTGGGGCAGGGCCACGGGCTTGTTTCTGGGTCGGTGCTCGGCCCCCCCGCAGCAGATCCCC